CCAATCCCGATCCCGCTCCTCGAGCCCACTGTCACTCTGGACTTCCGAAGACAAACAGAAACTATGCACCTTGAAGGCTGACGAGAAGTCTAGATTCTCATGGAAGGTGGTCTCGACCAAGATGGGCAAGTCCGAGGAAGACGTTCGCTCTATGTGGAATAAGATCAAAGACAAACTTGGCTGACCAACGACATATGCGAACCACAAGAAAAAGGTAGTTTGCGGCACTGTATCACAGTCTCACCAACCAGTTGGCCTTTTCTTTGAGAATCATTGTTCCTTTTGTTGATCTTCACAACCTCGGGCGTTGTTGCCCCATTGACTTTTGACACGTCGTATCATATAACCCGCTAGCCATTTATTATGTCTCTCCGCATTCACCTGGACCGCTATTGCCAACTGAGAGCTATGTCCAACGAGAGGATCTCACCTACACGACGCTCACGCTCTCCAACAAGGGCATCGTCTTCCGCTATGGGTTCTTCGTCACTTCAGCACCCACCCAACCGGACTCCGCCTATGACACCCCATCGACCGGTTATTTTCCAATTGGACCTGAAGCCGATGCAGCAACTTGCCGTCCGCAACCCTTACTACAACATCTTGACCCCTAAGGTCGCGGGCAACCTCCCTACGGCCACCTACGATAGCCTGTTTCAGACGTTCAAGGTGATCTACCCGGACTATGCTCGCAGTCATTTTGTTTCAGACCTCAAAACTGTGGTCACCGACACGTTGCTACAACGATGGTCGATACACCTACCAGCGTCAGATTTCTACATGATGATTGATACTGATCAAGGAGCTCAGATGCTTGACGACCTCCCTCATTCTCTTTTGGACGTTTTGAACTGGTTCTACCCGAGATGGAAAACTCATCAACATCTCGATGCTTTCACGACTCGTGAGTGTTCACCTTTGCTGCTGACACCCCATCCAGATGCACAAGACACAGGCTTCGCTGTACATGTTCAAGTGATTCCTCGTGGGCATCCATTCGTCACGGCCACCAGATACACTAAAGCGGCCGAGTGATTAACCTTGGAGATAGAACTTGGCGACGCTCACCTCTATGAGAAAAGAAAAATGCACTCGTTATGATGTCCGCCACCCCGGTTTTTGGGTTTCTTTTGTCCCCCTTGCTTCTCCTCTTTACATATTGCGATGTTCTTGGTTCGTCCTTCCATCATTGACCTTTCCCCACGGCTTTTTGGCTTCAGTTCAGTTTATCTCGATATCATATTATTGCTACTGTACATGATGACCTCCAACACGGATGACAATGCCCGATTTGTCTCAAACCGTTCCTCACCTACATCCGCACATGGCCTCGTTCCACACCTACCACCGGATGATCCTACCTCGGCATCATATATTCCCCGTGAAGCGCGAATGATTCCAACCTCAACCACCGTCCATTCCGTCTTCATCAAGAAGCTGAGCTACCCTTTATCTACTCGTCCAGATGAACTTTGGATCGTGGAAAGGACACTTGATGGTATTGAAACGTGGAAACCAGTGGAAACATTTCTGGAGAACATGCACCTCACCAACGATTGTGCTACCCTATGTACCACGGCCAACCAGTGGCGCCGATACTATGACGTACCACTCCAATCATCCTCCTCCTCTACGGCAACTGCTGGTCCTGTTCTACCACACCCGGAACACTCCAACGTCTACGTCTCCCAACCGTACGAAGCGATACCGGACCAACTCCATATTTTACAGTCATGCTGGGGACGTTCCGCCCAACACCACTCTCAAGGAACCACCACCTCTTTATATTGGCCACCATGGCGGTCTACACCACCTTCTTCACCACCGGCAACATTGCAACGTACCTTACCTCTCAATCGCCCCACCATCCCTCCTCAACAAGTACATGGTCCACTGGAAGCGAACGAGACGGACCTGATGGATATGTCTGACTCCAGTGTGTAATACACCACATTATTTGTCGGCATCGGAAAAAAGTACGGTGACTACACGTCGATTTGTGACTACTCATTCGGTATACCTTTTCCCTCCATTTTCCAATTTTTGGGATTTATTCCTTGGTCATTGTCCTTCTATGTTGCAGCTTGGGCTTTTCGCTTTATACTCGAAACCTGACATTCAACGCCATGGCTCATTCGTCTCGGCCCCATCCATATCGCGCTACAGCTACGGTTGAGACACCAGAGGGCACCCGCACCATTGGATGGTTTGCTGGACCCCGAGGCCTTCCTGGTCACTTGAACCCTCCTCCATACCGACCTATCCTTATTTTGATTGACTACTCTCCCTTACAGGAACTGACTCATCGCAGCGAACCTGACCGTGAACACTACATGGCTTTGGCTAGCTCAAACCTCAAAAATGTTACTGGCTACGAACTTGAAGGTCTGTTCACCTGGTCACGTCAGATGGGACCAGTGGAAGCCGGTGTCCTTCCCATTGGAGAACTACGTTTCCGCATTTCAAAAAGATTGAGGACCCAATGGGACATCCAGTTTGACCCTTCGAATTTGGAGTTTCGCTATTGCGACCTGGAAGGTGATTCGTTCCAAGTCCCCAATGAGATGACGATCATGCAGCTTCTGGAAGAATACCGACCCGAATGGCGACTCCGACAGTACAACTACATTGAATCCTCCTTGCTCGTCCCGGGTACCTCACAGCCTTTCGTGCTACGTCTACGATGCAACAAAGTTACTCCTGGTGTGATCCTGCCCTGATACGCTCACTGGCCACAAAAAAGACCATGCTCGAGGGTTTGTCGTTTTACCGTTGACAATTTTCAACACGAAGGATTCTGGGAATTCCATTTTGTATTGCCTTTCCGTGAACCTTGAACCACTTGATTGATGACTGGACCTCACTTTTATTATCATTTTGGTTATTTTTATTCTTGGGCTGGGCTCACTCGCATTTTCGTGATACCTCAGCTTTTGTTGCACCATCTCACGCATTTCTGATCGTTTCACCCATGGAGCATAAACGAGACGCGACCGTGGCGGGCTTGGCTTGGCCTTCGAATCCCAACCGTGGACTTCCTCCTACCAACCCTGATCAAGCACCAGACGGCCCGGCTTCTACACTATGTCATTCTGGTCTTCCTGATCCTACTACTGGGACCCCTTCGGCACCTTTAGCAGCTGACAATACAACTACCGACACTGGAACCACGACCCATTCTGATACATATTCAGGCCCCGCACCTTTTGACGCCCCTTTTCCGACGGAGCAACGTCCTGCATACCACTACCTCCATCGTGCTCACTTCTCTTCCCGCGTGGTTCACCAGATCCAATTCAAGATCATTACCCACTCCAACAATACCAGGGCGCTATTCATTGTAGAGATCCCCTTGTCCGGGCTTTCCAAATGTCGTGATCCTGAGCACTACTTTTACGGTCTTTCGGGCAACTGGGAGTGGTCCCTGCGCACAGCGGATTACTGGCGACATCACTTTGAGATTCCTCTAGTACATGGACATCACCCTTATCACAATGTTCCCATTGAGCCCACGGCACCTACGGAGGCAACCCACTTTACTCCGAAGATTCAGGACCTGGCCCAACAACTTTCCATCACTTTGAGGGCTGCTATGGCACCGGGGGAACTCAACGACACGTGGAGGATGCTTGAGGACATGAGCTTCCGTGACGCGATCCAAACACTTCAAGCTGGGACACACCTCCCTTCTGAGTGATTGAACACGGCTCTGTACATTAGCACCGGAAACGGTTTTTGTATTTGAATAATCTTGCCAACTTTTGCTGCGTTGCTCATCCAAAAAATCAAACCCCGCTACACGCGGGGTGTGTGTGTAACATCTGAACAGATGTAAAACTTCTTCGATTCAAATCTGTTCACATTTGCCGGGAATCTTTTCACATTTGCAGGGGGCTGCAGGGAATGTCATAGTTCTGCAGCCAACGAAGACGGCTATGACATTCTGTGATATCAATCCGGGACGCTGGATTGACGTACCTGCCAATTTGCAGATCGGTTTCAACTGTTGATCAAGCTGTTACACTGCGTTGTTTCGAATCTACACGGTTGCCACAATCTGTATTTTCGCCGAAACCATGTCACGGTTTTTGCTGCATCAGAACCTTCCTCAGAGCAAGGACGTAGAAAACATACTTGGAACAATCTAGTTACATGATCGCCGACGCCATCGTCGCCGACAGTTATTTATTTATTTATTGGCTAAGCTTCGCCGAGACATCGCCGATGATATTATTGCTGGTTTATTTATTCTTTTTGATGTCGATTCTGAACCCGATGACCATTCTGAAGTACTTCCATTATTCGTAGGCTGCATCGTTAATTTCATTGTTTCGTATCTAATCTGCATGTTTCAGGATTCAGTTCCTGCCGGATCATATAATGATCCATTCTTGTCTAGTGTGTGTGTGTGTAACACCTGAACAGGTGTAAAACTTCTCATGGAATTTTACTCTATTTGCAGGGGGACACAGCATTTCACTGGGACTGTGTCCAACGAAGCTACCAGTGAAATGGGATATCCAGCTTGGCCAGCTGGACGTACCTGCATTTTTTCGTTGCAATTTTGACTGACATGGCACGCGGCCAAGCCTAGAACCGCACAGCTGTATTTTCACTTCACGGTTGTCGCAATCTGGAATTACTGTTGGTCATTTACGATTGGTTCAGTTGCATCAGAACCTTCCTCAGAGCAAGGACGTAGAAAACATACTTGGAACAATCTGTTTACATGTTCGCCGACAACATCGTCGCCGACAGTTATTTATTGGCTAACCTTCGCCGAGACATCGCCGATGATATTATTGCTGGTTCATTTATTCTTTTTGGTGTCGATTCTGAACATGAAGACCATTCAGAAGTACTTCTATTATTCGTAGGATGCATCGTTAATTTCATTGTTTCGTATCTAATCTGCATGTTTCAGGATTCAGTTCCTGCAGGATCATATAATGATCCATTCTTGTCTAGTGTGTGTGTGTGTGTGAGCTTCGGGTGTTGAGGTGGGGTTGGCGTCAACCTGCCCATTCTCACAGAAATCGCCACATCCTAAGTGCTCTGTTGCTGTCCATGAAGCGAAACATCATGAAACATCACATGACTTGTCATGAGGTGCGCCCTGAAGGAAGGTCTACAATTTTGGCCTGGGAATCTGCATTGGAGAGCACCTTTGCTTGTATCCTTGGCAATGCCATGGCAGAGGCCTTAGAAACTGACAGCCCCGGCTGCCTCGGCCGCCTTGGCCTGCGTTTTGTCAGCGCAAGGTCGGATTTTTGGCGGAGAAAGTGTTTGGATACAGGCGCGTGCCACATGTGCCTGTCCACACTTGGGCGTGCGTCAGTTTGGCAGATGCGATGTGCGAATTTGCATGATTTTACATGTGTATTAGTCTCAATGCTTCGTGGGTGTTCAAACGTGCATGACCGGAGGTTGGATAATTCTGACCATGCCAGAGCTGATGTTGAAAGTCGGCGTGCGCTTGGTAAGGTTGGGTGAGACAGAACAGCGTTGATGCGAGGTATGGAAAAAAAACGAAAGAATTTACCAGCAGCCTAAAAACAGTAGAAAGAGAACGAAAACCTCTTGTTGGAACGAGATTTGCCTGCTTCGCATTGCATCGTTTTTTCGATTAATTTTGCAGGCTTTGACGCTTACTTGTTTCACGCCGTGGTTGATTTGCTGGACTTGGCCTCGGTGATGGAGACTTTAAGAGTTGTTTATACTTGGATCTTCTTTGTTTTGATCTTGTTTTTTACATTCTAAGCTCCCCTTTTCCCAATATTGGGTCTGACTCTGTGCCAGGGTGGTCTATTCACTTCTCCACTGGAGTTACCCCAAAGACTTGAAGCGTGTGAAGCCGCATCCTCAGTTTCATGCTGCCACGATGGTACTCTTGTTGAAAAAAAAACATACCCCTTTGGGGTATGCTTTTTAAGTGTCTTTGATATCCCCTATGATAAGATTGGGTAGTTGGGTCCGGTATGGCTTATTATATATAGGGTTGACTAAGTATAAAATCGACCTGTACGCATCGAAGGAACGAGAAACTGAAGGACAAGAAGGAAGCCTATCTGCAACGAAAGCGCGAAAAGGCTGAAGAGGCTGGACGGCTGGACTCACCGATCGCGTTCACCCAGTGGCGCAGTGTGCAGAGCATTCATACCAGAACTGGCAGGCTAGAAAAGCAAATGAGGCCATGGAGAAAACCGAAGAACCAGAGGCGAATCTAAACTGACACGTTTTTGCTGTCAAGTCAGTGTAGCCCTTGCTGAAAGCCCTTACTGAAAGCTCTTCTCTTGCACTTGTCCCAGGTGGAGAGTGAGGCTGTACAAAAGTACACCATCATTTGCACCAATGTGGATGGGACAACTATGTCCCCTATGTCTTCTCCAGTGGCAATCTAGATGAACCCGGGTGAGGGTGGTGAGTTTTGCAGCTTTCAGCGTAAAAGCAGAAAGCTTAACCCAGCAAGGGAAATTGACGGCATCGCCCTTGTTGTCCTGGACGGAATCACCATCTTTTGAAAGTCTGCAGACAAATTCTCAATAAACATCGCTAAGAATAAACACTAGAAAACCTGAGTTTGGATGACTAGAAGAGGATGATCATAGACAAATTGAAGGAGAGCAAAGGCAATGCTATAGCTTGCATGGAATTCATCCTTAGCTGAGCCATCCGTGCTTTACGGGGCATCGAGCGGAACCGCCCAGAAGACCCACAGCTTTAAAGCTAAGCTTTCGGGTGAAGGGTTGGGTACACACGGCTTCGGCAGCTGCCGGAATGAGCAGCCACGAGACGTTGGTCGAAGTGCGTTTCAGACTGTTCTGCATAACACCCAACGTTAATCAACGTTGATGGTGCTGTCTGCGGAGGCAGGAAAAACATAATTTCTTTTGTGGGGCCGTGCGGCTGTGAACATTGTCAGCAAGTGCAGTGTGTGGCTTGGAAAGCTATACCATCGCCAGCCTTTGGGCTTCAAGGTTGAGCAGTCCGTTTCTAAACTATAACCGAGCAGTGTGCAACAGATGTATGACATCGACTTTGTCCTCAAGCACTGCCGACACTTGGTGCTTGACTTTTACAAGTCTGTCTTGAATGTAGTGTTTGGCGAGATTCAAAAAAAGGTCAACAGCATTGCTGTTGTTTTCATGCGCATTTGGAATCAACATGCGAAGTTGAGACATGGCAAATCCGAAAAATGCATCATTCGGCTTGGTGCCTTCTACAGCGGCCTGAGACTCGGGAGAGATTCAGGATGCTTTTGCCAGTCCTGCAGTGAATGTGCGCCGAGGTGAGAGCTTTGCCGGCGGAGGACCGGAAGCTGTTTCTAAAGAGCACCAGCCCGGCCCTCTGAAAGCATCGCTTTAGTTTCTCCATTTACATTATCTTAAACTTTCAAAATCTGTACTAATATCTTTAAATGTAAATGTGTAGAGAGGGGGAGACATTCGACGCTTTGATGTATGCTTGATGCCAAGGACACTCCAAATTTCTTGTTGGATAGTGACTAGGTGACGTCGCGGTCCATTTGTAAGGTCAGGAATCCTTTGCAGCGAAGCGCCCCAGTGTTGCTCGAAGTTGCTTAAAATGCTGCTCGATACTCAGCACAGTTTGTGCCCAATCTTTCAGATGTCGCCCGCATCCCACAGCAAAGTATCCCCCAGCATCCCTCACCACGCTGAGGTAGCCAATCCCTGGGTGAAATCCATGAGATTGGCCAGAGGCGTCCGGGCCTCATGGCACCTATAGAACCATCGATTGATGGGCGACTGCTATGGAAAGCAGGGTACTTGGGTTCGGCATGGTTCTGACCCATAAATGCATACCAATGATAAGGCACAAAGAATGCTGGCATTCCGCTCCCGACTGCCGAACTGCTTGGGCCCTGGTGCTTTTGCAAAGCCGCGGAGAGTTTAGGTCAGAGAGGAATGTATCAAGCCTTTTTGGAATGATTGCTAGGCACAATCGGAACATGTGCGAGTACACCTTTAGCTACAAGGAAAACCCGTTGCTGGGAGCTAGTGCTCCTGATTTCTTGCAGTTTCTCGATAGCGCAGTGCAGCGCACACACATACTTCGGATTCACTTATGTTGCATGGGCTGCAGGTATCAATCGAGAGCTTGCAGAGTCGTTTAGAGATGGAAACAGGCAAGGCTGCAGGGCTGTTCCACCAGTTACTGCAATCCTGTCTTCCACAGACTGCGAAAATCCAGGTCAACCAAGCCTCCACTTCCAGTACCTGTCGGCAGCAGCACATACTCGCAGGAGGGACTGCAAGTGGGGACAACCATTTGTGAGCAACTGCTCAGGTTTGCCCAGAAGAGGGGCCGACTCCAATATTGCAATTCACGCGGTTTTGGACATTTCAAACAGAATAATGATATTATATATATATAATGATGATAAACCCCTGGAGCACCATAATTTTTGGACAAACCTTGGTTCTACTTGCAAGCGCTCCAGACGCAGAGCCCGAAGGGTCTTCGACAGGCATTCGGACATGTACCAAGTAGACGACAGATGCGTCACGCGTGAAGCGCCCAAGATTGGCACAGCAGATTTGACGGGCCGTGGCCAGAGTGACGGAAGTGACCTGTGGTCTAAGGCGCAAGCGGATGTTTGAGCCACCAGTAGATCGAAGGCTGGGTCAATGACTGAGTCATGGAAGCTTGATGCAGCTGCATGCAGCCAAAACCAAGATGGACATTGTGTGTCTATGTACTATGTAAATTGATGAACCTAATATATATATATAATTATATATATATATATATATGTACACATAATAATAATAATAATAATACTAATAATAATAATAATGATAATAATAATACATTATACATATTATTTAAGGGCTTACGCCCGACAGCCGGCCAGGGGCCCACGTGAGGCAAAAGGATCATAAAGAGATTGTAAAGATATTCACCCCGCTTCGCGTGGGGTGGCCGCCCACACCGCAGGTTTATTTCGGTCCGTGAGAGGGGCTAAGGGTGGTGTGGAATATGAGGAGCAGAGCAGCACAGGAGAATTGACATACATAACTGCTGGGTTCGTGAATATTTTTTTGAGTGGACTGAAAATATGTTTTTTTTGCCGCATGAATTGGACACGTCAGCAGCTTCTTTGAATGTGTTTCCATGTTTTTGCAATGGTTTCCTTCAAAGCACGGTACTTTACACTTTTGTCGCCATAAAACCGGTCGAAAACATCATGTTCGACAATGCTTCCAATTGGGGCTTCCCAAGCTAAGCAATTTTCACTTTTCCCCCCCGTAGAGGCTTCCCAGGCGAGAATTTTCACTTTCCCCCCCCGTGGAGGCTTCCCAAGCTAGGGAATTTTCGCTTTAATTTTCACTTTTCCCCCGTGAAGCTTCCCAAGCTAAGAATTTTCACTTTCCCCCCCCGTGGGGGCTCCCCAAGCTAGGGAATTTTCACTTTTCCCCCCCGTGGGGGCTTCCCAAGCTAGGGAATTTTCACTTTTCCCCGCCGTGACAGCTTCCCAAGCTATGGAATTTTCACTTTTCCCTCCCTTGGAGGCTCTCCAAGCTGCGGAATTTCAAATAGCTAGACAACGACGCCTAGATAGTCCCCCAAATCCCGTGTTCTTTGAATGTGTTTCCATGTTTTTGCAATGGTTTCCTTCAAAGCACGGTACTTTACACTTTTGTCGCCATAAAACCGGTCGAAAACATCATGTTCGACAATGCTTCCAATTCCCTTATTTCCCCAACCGTTGAAAATACCGCTATTTACAGTGTTTTCTTGAATTTTTCCATGTTGCAATGCCGGTAGCCAACTCCAACATATATATAAGAAATCCTTCCAAAACATTGTTTTTGACAGTGTTTTTCCAATGTTTCCAGTCAAACAGACGGTAATTTACACGTTTTTTGCCATAAAGGCAGTAAATCCTTCCAAAACATTGCTTTTGACAGTGTTTTTGTAATGTTTCCAGTCAAGCATACGGTAATTTACACGTTTTTTGCTATAACGTCAGTCCAAAACACTTGTTTTTGCAGTGTTTTCAATGCTCTGGCATCCAAAAACCCTGCAAAATCTTGCTATGTACAATGTTTTTTTCATTTTTGGCCGTTTTTCCATTGCCGGAAAGCTACCAAAATGACCCAAAATTCCATTTCAATACCCTCTTGCGCTCAGACACCCAAAAATCCTCGAAAAATGTCGGAAACACCACCTAATTCTGGTCTCGGTGCGAAACCGTTTTTGCCCCCCCCCCAGCTAAAGCTGATATAGCGACTGCTATATTAACAAATGTGATTGAGCATTTAGTGTAGCTGTTTCCCCCCAATAAGCACGCCTTCACCGCCAAAGCGGTGTGGGCGGATTTTAAAGAAGAATTGAGGGAAAAGGATTGCTGCTGCTGCTGTTGTTGTTGTTGTTGTGGTGGTGGTGGTGGAGGTGGTGGTGGTGGTGGTGCTGGTGCTGGTGCTGGTGGAGGTGGTGGTGGTGGCGGCCCATCCGCAAGGTCTGTAGTAGGCGCATCTTAAGGCGAGGTTGGCCCAGCTTGCGGCTATGTTGTCCCATCTTGGGGCTATGTTGGCCCATCTTGGGCCTATGTGGGCCCAGCTTGCGGCCCATGTTGGGCCATCTGGGGGGCTATGTTGGGCCAGCTTCGGCGCATTTTGGGGCTTATGTTGGACCATGTTGACCCATCTGGAGCCACAAGATCGAAAAAAGAGGAAAGCCACAAAACACTGTAAATTGCGTCACTTGTGTAGGGTCGGCGGCAGGGAGGGCACCCCCCACTATCCTACGGAGAGGAGAGAATGGGTTCACCCATCTTGATCTTTGAGGCTACTGATGCAGCACCCTGCAAACTGGGTCCATCGATCACCGTCCTGCCTGTGGACATCAATTTCGCGTGCATGGTGGATCTGTTGCTCACCATCTCTACGAACATGCCTGCCTTACTTGTGGCACCACTGTGAAAACAACCCAGGCGGCAGGACGAATTCAAATAAAACACAAAACGCCAGCGGGCAAGACATGTCGCCGAGACAGATGGCAAGCGCAATCACGCTTCTCGTTCCTTATCTTGCTCCACCTCGTTGCTTGCTGCCTGCTCTCATTTGCTCTTGCACCTTCCTTCCAAATTGCAACCGTCAAGTTTCCAAAATCTTTGCTCCGCGACACCGAAGCAGCATGCAGCCAAAAGCCGGATGACCCCTTCCTCCAAGTTGCAGCCTTCAAGATTCCAGAGACTAGCACCGAATGGCAGCCTTCTTTCTGACCTGCAAGAAAGTAGCTTCAAATTGCATCTCGCAAACCTCAAAAACCTTGCCTCCGCCGTGCCGGAACACCATGGAACCAAACGGTCGACGCGGCCTTCGGGTTGTCGCACTGGCCCTACAGGACGGACGGGGCCTTTGGCTGGTCGCTGCCACTGCCTAACGTTGCGTTCTGACGCGGCTAGAAAATTCAAACCCCGCCCTTGCAGCACCGAAACGCAATGGAACTAAAGGACGGACGGGGCCTTCGGCCGGCAGCTGCCTGTGCCTAACCTTCCTTTCTGACGCAACAAGGAACTAGCTCCAAATTCCAGCTTGCAAGCCTCCCAAACTTTGCCTTCGCAGCACCGAAACACAAGGGAACTAACGGACGGACGGGGCCTTCAGCTGGCAGCTGCATGTGCCTAACGTTGCTTTCTCACGCGACAAGAAACCAGCAAGAAACTAGCTCCAAATTCCTGCCTGCAAGCTTCCCAAGCCTTTCCTTCGCAGCACCGAAAAACAATGGAACTAAATAAAGGACGGACGGGGCCTTCGGCTGGCAGCTGCCTCTGCCTAACGTTGCTTTCTGCGTTGCTTTCTGACGCGGCAAGAAACTAGCTCCAAATTCCAGCTTGCAAGCTTCCCAAACCTTGCCTTCGCAGCACCGAAACACCATGGAACTCAAGGACGGACGAAGCCTGCGGCTGGAAGCTGCCTGTGCCTAACGTTGCTTTCTGACACGGCAAGAAATTAGCTCCACATTCCTGCTTGCAAGCCTCCAAATCCTTGGCTTCGCAGCACCGAAACACCAGGGAACTAAAGGACGGACGGGGCCTTCGGCTGGCAGCTGCCCGTGCCTAACGTTGCTTTCTGACGCGGCAAGAAACTAGCTCCAAATTCCAGCTTGCAAGCTTCCCAAACCTTTCCTTCGCAGCACCGAAACACCATGGAACTCAAGGACGGACGAAGCCTGCGGCTGGAAGCTGCCTGTGCCTAACGTTGCTTTCTGACGCGGCAAGAAATTAGCTCCACATTCCTGCTTGCAAGCCTCCAAATCCTTGGCTTCGCAGCCGAAACACAAGGGAACTAAAGGACGGACGGGGCCTTCGGCTGGCAGCTGCCCGTGCCTAACGTTGCTTTCCGATGCAGCAAGCAGCTCCACATTCCAGGTTGCAAGCCTCCAACCTTGGCCTCGCAGCACCGAAACACCATGGAACTAACGGTCGGACGGGGCCTGCCTCGGGTGGCAGCTGCCTCTGCCTAACGTTGCTTTCTGATGCGACTAGAAACTAGCTCCACATTCCAGCTTGCGAGCCTCCAAAACCTTGGCCTCGCATCTTTCTGGCTGGTTTCTGTGCCTTGCCTCTTGCCCGCGTGTTCTTGCAGCTGGCCTCTTGCCTCTTGCCCCTCTTGTCCCCTCTTCTCTGACGCGCTCGCCCTGCTGTCGGCAGGGGTCGGCGGATATACACAATCATTATAACAGAGACACGTACAATGTATGATAAATGATAAATGTATGATACTGGTTGATCACACCCGCAGAGAGATTGTGCATTTGCAATTGCACACCTAATACACAGCTAGATACGTAATATTATTTGCGCCCGACTTTTGGTTGGTGCTGCGCCTGCCCCGACCAAAGTCGCGCAGGGCAGAGGAATCTTTGTGCTTTGGGTCTACAAAAAGTTCTGAGACAAGGCAGAAGTTCAAAGATGCACAATGAGTTAGTCAGTCACTAGTGATGTCCAATGGCACCGTGAGTTAGCTATGAGTCTAGATACTCTTCAATTATTACGAAAACCAGCTGGAGGCTGTAGCCGACGTGTCTATTGCAAACGTAGTGAGAGTATAGGGGGTCTGGGGGGGTAGCCGCTTCCGAAACGCACACGAAACTCGAAATTAGGTAATTAGGTGGTGTTCCAGGTGGCCCGGAAAATGGTGTTTTGCCGGGTGGTGTACCGGTGTGCCGTGTCGCAATTTGATGACGCTGGGCGTTCGATTCCCCCCTGGTCCGTCCTGCTGCCCGGTTGTTTTTGTTTTTTTTCAAGACCCCGTCCTGCTGCTGTTCACCACGCCGGCCTATACCCTCTGCACCTTTCGACCTTTAAATTTAAATCCAAATCGTTTTCAACAACAAGATCGCTCCCGCATTGTCAACAATTCTCACGCTACCCACTTAATTAACCTTCTTCATGACTTTCCAACTTACACTTTCCCCTGCTTCGAGATATAATTAAAATTATAATACAACTTTGTTAGAATGACCACCAATCAAAGTTGATGCCTTCTTCTTGACTCCTGACGTTTAGCATGTGATACGCAACCGCTCAGTTTGCTCGTAGTAAGTAAAGCCACGGCACAATCATGTTGGCCTTTTGCTGGTTATAGCTTTTGTGCATAGCACTGTTGCGGGGAAGGGTAGAAATATGTTTTCGCATACGGCTTTTTGAGTGCCAGCAGAATCTTTCTCCTGTACTAGGAGTGTGTTACGCAACCGCTCAGTTTGCTCGTGGGAAGTAAAGCCGCGATACAACCATGTTGGTCTTTTCGTGGTTATATCTCTTGTGCTTGCCACCAATCAAAGGTGATGCCTTGTTGTTGACTCCTGACTAGCGTGTGATACGCAACCACTCAGTTTGCTCGTAGTAAGTCAAGCTGCGATACAACCATGTTGGCCTTTTCCTGGTTATATCCCCATTTTGCACGGCACCGTCGCGGGGGAAGGCAGAGGCATGTTTTCGCATACGGGTTTTTGAGTGTCAGCAGAATCTTTCTCCTGTAAAACATAGCCGCATGCCTTCGCACGGATCCACAAAGTGCAATCAGATATCCTCTTCACTAGGAGTGTGTTACGCAACCGCTCAGTTTGGTCTTAGGAAGCAAAGCCGCGATACAACCACGTTGGCCCGTTGGCCTTTTCGTACTCATATCTTTTGTGCTTACCACCAATCAAAGTTGATGCCTTGTTGTTGACACCTGACATTTAGCGTGTGGTATGCAACCACTCAGTTTTTCTCATTTTTTCAGGTGTCCCATTTTTTTTGAAATATATCCCAATACAATGTTGGCGTGTGACAGCAGGTCGGCCTCTCACCAGGGTCATGGAAGCCTTCCCTTGGACATGGTGGAGAGTTCCCCGCACTGGACTGTCAAGGAGTGCAAGTGTATGCAACTTTAGAAGATCTCCGCCCAGTGTGAATTTGAGGTCTCAACTTGTTGAAGCTGGAGTGTTTACTGTAATGATATTTCATGATACTTCATGATATTTCATGCTGAAGTCGAGGATACCTTGGGGCCTCGCCTTGGTAGTGGAGAGGCTTTCAGGAGAAAGTTCCATCGCTCTTGTGCTCTATGGATTCTGTTTCTCTTTGCTCTTGCTGCAACAAGGCAACGAGGCAAAGCAAGTTCCTGCACGGACTAAAATATGACGAGGGCAAAACCAACTCTGAGTCTCAAAGCATGCCTTGGTCGAAGGACGACTTACCAAGTGAGCTACAAGCCGCAGACGGCGCCTGCAGATTTTTGGAAACCAGTGCTTCGCTCGCAGGCTTGGGGCGTGCATGACATGCAAGACCAGTATGGCATAGGTAGAAATTAGTTATCAACTCCAAATGGTTTAAGCCTTAAAGCCAAAACAAAAAAGTATCATAGCATCGCACCCACTTTCGTCACATAAGCGCTGCTCTCATCAGGTGAAATTCTCTTGGCTCCCAGAAGAACCGACCTTGGCCTAGGAGCCTAGCTTGAGTTGTGTAGAGAATGGCCTCTTGATGGAGTGCAGAATTGTTGGTACCGTAGGAACTGTGCAACTTGGCACCAAAGCACTGCAGTACCAGATCTCAGTGATGGAGGTTCTGCGAAGCAGCCTCTGTCATTCAGAATCTTAGATCGGGCGCGTTTGCCCGAGTCAATGAGCGACAAAAAAACGCAAACCAAGCATCGGTGCCGCATTTATGTTCGGACAGTCGCATGCCAAGATGAAACACCGAATTGTTTGAGGCCTTTATTACATGATATGGTTTTCCTTGCTGCAAAGCTTTGAAGCTCGCAAGTAGAAGTGTAGCAATGGCCTGGGTGTGTCCCATCGCAGTATCTTGACTTCTTGTGGAGCTACAGTCTTTTCAGCGCTGTTTGCGTTGCCCCCTCCAGCCGAGAGAACGTTGATTCATAGGTTTGGTTCTCTTGGTGTGCAATATTTACTTGTACAAGCATATGTCCGTGGTTGACCAGGTAATGTCACTTCCCTGTGTGAAGAGTAGGACACCCCAGCACAATTGCATGTTGCTTGTAATTGCAGATTCTGAAGCGCTGAGCTCTGTGATTTGATTTGCTCATGCTAAACTGGGAGAGCCAGAGTGTTCTGTGTCATGACATATCTTCATATTGTAGAGCTTCGCACACCGGCGATGCCACAAGGGTTATGTATATATAGTAGCGTGAGCGTTGGTATTGTTCATGTGCTCTGCGCATTTGCGTAGGTACAGAGCACAGTGTGATGTTCTTGTCATACCGCAGCTTGTAACCATCTTACCACACAACTTTTTGTGGCATTTTTGTGCTTCTTGGTCTTGTTCTTGTTCTTGTTCTTGTTCTTGTTGTTGTTGTTGTCGTCGTCGTCGTCGTCGTCGTCGCCGCCGTCGTCGTCGTCGTCGTTGTGGTGGTTGTGGTTGTGGTTGTGGTTGTGGTTGTGGTGGTTGTGGTTGTGGTTGTGGTTGTGGTTGTGGTTGTTGTTGTTGTTGTTGTTGTTGTTGTTGTTTGTCGTTGTTTGTTGTTGTTTGTTGTTTGTTGTTGTTTGTTGTTGTTTGTTGTTTGTTGTTGTTTGTTGTTGTTTGTTGTTGTTTGTTGTTGTTTGTTGTTGTTTGTTGTTGTTTGTTGTTGTTTGTCGTTGTTTGTCGTTGTTTGTTGTTGTTTGTTGTTGTTTGTTGTTGTTTGTTGTTGTTGTTTGTTGTTGTTTGTTGTTGTGTGTCGTTTTTTGTCGTTGTTTGTTGTTGTTGTTGTTGTCGTTGTCGTTGTCGTTGTCGTCGTCGTTGTCGTCGTTGTGGTTGTTGTTGTTGTTGTTGTTGTTTGTCGTTGTTTGTTGTTGTTTGTTGTTGTTTGTTGTTGTTTGTTGTTTGTCGTTGTTTGTCGTTGTTTGTTTGTTTGTTTGTTTGTTTGTTTGTTTGCTTGCTTGCTTGCTTGCTTGCTTGCTTGCTTGCTTGCTTGGTTGTGTGTTTGTTTGTTTGTTTGTTTGGTTGGTTGGTTGGTTGGTTGGTTGTTTGTTTGTTTGTTTGTTTCATTGTTTGGTTGTTTGGTTGTTTGTTTGTTTGTTTGGTTGTTTGTTTGGTTGGTTGTTTGTTTGGTTGGTTGTTTGTTTGGTTGTTTGTTTGGTTGTTTGTTTGGTTGTTTGTTGTTGTTTGTTGTTGTTTGTTGTTGTTGCTGTTGCTGTTGCTGTTGCTGTTGTTGTTGTTGTTGTCGTTGTCGTTGTCGTTGTCGTTGTCGTTGTCGCTGTCGCTGTCGTTGTCGTTGTCGTTGTCGTTGTCGTTGTCGTTGTCGTTGTGGTTGTGGTTGTTGTTGTTGTTGTTGGTTGTTGTTGTTGGTGTTGGTTGTTGTTGTTGTTGTTGTTGTGGTGGTCGTCGTCGGCGTCGTTGTTCTTGCAGCACAGCTTATTGTCGCATTTTTGTGGACCCCTAAAAATCGTCAAATAGGGGTTGTTTTCGCGATGTTTTTTGCGCCTCGGAGGCCCAAAACAACGGTATTTACGATGTTTTTTTGCCTTTGGTAGCAAAAATCAAGGTGTTCATGCCGTTTTTGCCATGTTGCAAGAGCTCGTTTCTTTGTGCGAAAAGGACAAAAACACTGTATTTTACGATGTTTTTTTGCGCAGCAAAAAATGTCAAGAAATGGTTCAAAAACGGCCCAAAATCGACTTCCAAAAGCATCTTGTACTTTTATCATCTTTTTTCCCAGCCCCGGATCCCGCAAAAAGTGAAAGCACCAGCAGGGTGAAGGATTTTGGGTGGTCGACGGCAGGAGTGCGCCCCCGGGTAGCTAAAGCTAGCTGCAGGCTACACCACGTACGGCGAGGCATCATTTAATGATGCCGCCCCTGCCGCCGTGGGCGCTGGTGCGTTCCGGGGGATCAGCAGATCAGTTTCGGAGACACAACTGAGTGAATGAACCAATGAACCACTGAATCGATGAACCAATGAATGAACGAATAAACCAATGAATCAGTGAGCCAATGAGTCAATGAATCAATGAAGCATTGAAGCAGTGAGTCAATGAATCAAGCAACCAGTGAACCAATCAATCGGTGATTCAATGAACCAATGAATCAGTGAATCAATGAATCCATGAATCAACGAATCAGTGAATCAATGAACGAACCAATGAATCAATGAGTCGCGGGTTCAGTGAATCAATGAATCAATGAATCGATGATTCAGTGAAACAATGAATCAATGAATCAATGCAGGCATGATTAAGTGAGTCGATGAACCTATGAAGCAACGAATCGGTGAATCAATGAATGAATGAAGTACTGAGTCAATGAATCAGCAATGACTCAGTGAATCAATGGAGCAATGAACTGATGAATCAATGGAACGATGTTTCAGTGAACCAATGACTCGGTGAATCGTTGATTCCGTGAACCAATGAATCTACTAACTTCCCCCAGGGAACCGTTCGACGGGTTTTAGGTGACTTCGAGTCACCATTTTGGATTTTGAATAGAAATGAAAAACGAAGTCCAGAGTTTTCCCGAATCGGATTTGTTTTTTTAGTTTGAGCATCGTATTGGTTCAAATGACATCAAAGTGAAAAAAATATGGTTGTTTTTCTTCATTTCTAGGAGTTTATATTAGGTTGTTGTTCAAATTTATTAGTCAAAGGTTACACTTGTCAAGACATGAAACAGATACGGTGAATTTCTTTAATTTTAAGAAACTTTTAATAGATGCCTGTTCAAATGTCTGCCACATTCCTTCAAAATGACAAAAAAAAAGGATATGCTGTTCGGATGTTCGTTCTTTATTTTCAATATTTGACGGCAATTTCATGGCGAGTGGCTAGAGGCTAAAATTTGATCAAACTTTACAAATTTATTTCTTTTTGTGTCGTGGAACGCAAAAATCAAAAGTGAAAAATGCAGTTCCTACCAAAAAAACATATCTGTTTTTTCTGTTTGATCATCAGTAATGCAGCGGCAAGGATGCTGCGTAAGGTAGAGAATTGAAATAAAAAAATAGAACACAATTATTTCAATGCTGGCCACGATCCCATTGGTTTTGGCACGAACGAAGTTGTCCAAAGAGAGAAAGGACAAAAATCACAACCTGACTCACATGGCTGCTGCGGCCGGAGATGCCTTCAGTGTCCGAAGTGGTGCGCTTCCAGGCGACCAAGACTTTCTTTGCCTATACTTGGACCACCTGGGTAATAATTCAATTGATTTTCAAAGTTTCGAACATGAAATAAATCTTACACTAAAAAGATTGAAGCTGTCAGCAGCAGAAAACGAGTTCCATGACAAAACAGCAAACTGATAAGCATTCAATTGGTTCTAGAAATTTTGGGCATGAAAGGTTAATGATACTGCGCAGAAATCCCGGCGGTACCATAACAGAATCACCAATGACTAGTTTTCATTTAATTTTGATGTTCAAAAGTTCAGAAACAGCAAAAATCATTCACATTCAATTGGTTTGAAAGTTCTGGTAATACATCCGCGCAAAAGTCTTTGCGAGCTCCATGAGAAAAGAAACACAAATTGATTTCCATTCAATTTTAATGTTAAAAGAATCAAAAACAACAAACTGATCTACATACTCACTTAATTTTAAAGGTTTTGAAAATGTAAGATGGTCAAAATTGCGCCGAATCACTGCGAGCTACGCGACAGAAGCAAGCCTCATTAAGTTCAATTGAATTTTGATATGCCGAACTGATACATGTAACTGTTGACAGGGGATTGTGTAGCACATGTTGGAGTGGCCGCGGGATATCCGCTCAAGTCAAAAACGGGGGCCAATGGTAGACTCCTGGGGTTGGGCGGCACTCGTGGTGGCCTGGCTCACGGCGCTTGGTGGTGAGCAGCCCCGTCCTGAGCCGCTGGGAAGCAGCTGCCACTGCAACTGCACTTGCGAGGTGGAGCAGGCCATTTGTCCTGCAACAGCTTCTTGGTTTGGGGAGCTTGTGAAGGCATTGGTTTTTGTGACCTTCGGTGTGATCAGTGGTTGTGGTTTGCTGGGAAGAGCAGTGCAGCTCATAGGACAAGGGTTGCTGAAAGTCTGGGCCGGGATCCTTCAAGGGAATCAAGAACCCCCTACCAAAAAGGACCACCTGGGGGTTGAGATAGGGTCAAGGTTTGCCTTGGACTCAGAGCAGCGCTCAGAGCCAGCGTTTGTGAGAGATCGAGCGCTTCAGCAATTGGAGCTGGTGAGGTCTCGTAGGTCTGGAAGGTCTTGAAAATGGCGTTGGCAGAGGGTTCCAGAGTCTTCTTGGCCTGTGATGTGCCGCCTCCAGTGCTATACCATGAGCGACATGTTTTAGCCTCCTGTCCTTGTGGCCGCGGTTATCACATTGTGTTGACCCCTGACTTCGACATGTTTCCGGAGCAGATTTCTTTGGAAAACAGTGATTTGCTGGGGTTCAGAATAGCTGGTGATCAAGGACTGCCACATGGATTGACTGGGGCGAACACGTACCAGTTCCGAGGGATGCCTGGGGACGATGAGATGGCTCAGTTTAGAAGAGACGCCGCGCATGCAGCGGCGGCTTTGGCTCTCCCTCCAGGGGCTCCAGCCGGTGCTGTGATGCCAGGACCTGTGGCTGTTGCTGCAGCTCCGGCCCCAGTAGCAGCCCCGGTGGTCCCACCTGGGGAAGAAGAAGTCTGGGTCCGAATTGAGAGCGAGGCAGAACATCAACGTGGAGCTGTAGTCACCTTGGACGGTTCAGAGACTCTCCAAGGCGAGGTTGGTCTGAAGGTCAGCAACGGCCGTGCCTTTGCCATCCAGAAGATCAAGAAAGCCGACTTGCAGGAGTACAAGGGGCGTGAAGCCTCGGCTGATGCCCGTCTCTTGGGCATGAGCTTCCAGGGCCTCAACCGC